TGGGCTCAGTGTGTGCGGTCACTGGGCTCAATGTGCGCTGTCACTGGGCTCAGTGTGCGCTGTCACTGGGCTCAGTGTGCGCTGTCACTGGGCTCAGTGTGCGCTGTCCTCCTACAGTGTAACGGTCCTCAGGGACCACCAGACACTCCACATTATTGCAGATTGAGCCATTTACAACATGGCACTACCCACCTCTGCTGGGGGGGGGGGAATTCAAACCATGCGAGGACGAATGCGCCGTTCGGACTATTCAGAGCGGCTCAGAAACCACATTTCAGTAAAGGGGGTAGGGTTCACGTCGCAACAGAGAGTTCGCATAAAAAGGCATGAGAATGTCATCTGTCTGCCCCCCTCACTGACGCGTGGGTTTACAAACAATGGTTTATCCCATTACACTATTCCTGAAATTATTAACACCTGACATTTTAGTTCATTCTGTTTTAGGATGTTGAGCTTGTGTTCTCTGAGGGTCCATTAAATATACCGTGTCTTTACACAGGGATAATTTCATGGGCATTTTACTCTGTTGAAGGGATTGCCTCTCATTCCCTGCTAGTAATTTGTATAAATTACATTTGCATTTTAAATGCTTATGATCTTTTTTTTATTACTAGATGATGGTACTAACTCATCCAAGACTGTTGCAAAGTTCATTCTTGACTGCATCCTAAGAATACCAACGAGAATCTGCAAAGCCCTGCTGACTCAGGTACATAGAGCACATTTAATATTTTTATGAGTTATATATGACATTACTGGTCAGCTTCTTGTGTGATAGTATTTTGGGGCAAAGCACGGGAAGAAGAAAGTGCTGTTAGTTTTGAGGCTCACAAAACGAAGCATTGAAAAAATAGCTGTGAATTTATATTCTTGAGAACATAGTTAAGCCAGAAGTGTAAATGATGCCAGATAAAACTTGCACAGCCAACCGTTTTTGTATTGGGACAGTAGAGCATAATGAAAACCTGAGACTTTTGAAGCTTGTAGGTTTCCCAAATAACCTCCATTTAATTACTTTTTATGTGTATGTAATTTTTGCACACACTGAGACAACATTTGCATGTTACTCACTTAACATTTACTAAAAATACACTCAATATTCTTTGCTAACAAATGTACAGTTTGTTCACCATTTGAGTACCTTTATTAGCAAGGAAATGTCATATCTTTGATTAATCAAAGTAACCTGCTCTATCAGGTATAATAATTGAAAACATTTGAGGCATTATTTCTACAAGCGATGAAACACTTAACTAGTGCATTTAAAGTTAAAGGACAGCCTAGAATCTGACTACGCCATCACCACATAACCAGTTAATAGGACATCAGACATGCACTGTTACATACTATTTCTACTCTTGCCATAAAGTAGGCTTGTTTTATTTGACTTATATGCTTAACAAGAATAAAAATCAACAGTTTATGAAATAAATGGAAAAGTGGTAAAAATCTGTGGTACAAAAGCTTCTGACTGGTGGAGTATCTTGCGCATTGTGATACAGCAGTCTGGCACCCTTACACCGCAATGCTTGTATGATCCCAGGTCTTCCTGGAGCCCCTCTCGAGGGTGCTGGGTCAGGCCAAATCTAAGGCCGTGCTGCTGCAGACGGCCAAGGCAGATTGGCGCCACCTGAACAGGCTGCACCATGTGGGCATCCTGCTGGGGATGACAGACTGGGTCAAGGACTTCCACAGCAAGCTGAGCCCACCGCAGTCGAAGATCATTCCCCCCCTGGTGAAAAAGGTTCGGATTCATTGCCCTGTGAAATAGGCTGTCTTCTGACTCGCTCTCACGCCTGGTTTATTTGCAAAACATCAAGAATGCAGGGAATAAGAATACAGAGCTCATCCATTTTAAAACTAAAAATTATATATTATTTATCATAAATCGAAATATTATATTACACAGGTAACATGCCCAAAGAATCATAGATCACAGAATACATATTAATTAGGATCAAGACTCCATTTTACCTCTTTAAAATGACAGTTTTTGTAACAGATGATATATTGGTTTTAAAAGGCTTTATTCATAAAACAGTCTCTTTCTACTGAATGTTAACATAGTATCTACTGGGGTTAATGGATAGCTGGAGAAGGTGCTCTATCAGCTAAGCGTGGGGGATTTGTTCCTGAATACTGCTGTCCTGAAATATGCTGAAAGGTGTCGCTGTTTCCTGTCCCCTCTGCAGCTCATAGGTACTGACTGCATGTCTGTGAGCAGCAAGTCTTCCGCAGGAGCCCTCAGTGATGACGAGGACCTGATAGAGTTCGGCCCAGACCTGGAGACATCATCTCTGAGTCCATCCAATATGGATGGTGAGATTTTTTTAGTCCAGTGATTACATTTACGTAACTATCATCATGTCTAATATTTGCAGTATTAATCGCATTGGACAAAGCTCAGACGGATGTCTACCAAATCATGCTTCTTTCAAATGATTATACCCAAAGATGCTGCTGCTTTCGCTCTTAAAATGCCTTCCCTCTTGAATGGTCACGCAGAGGACGACGAAGACAGCGAGGAGAAATTCGAGCTGGTGACAGGGAGGGATGAGAAGATGTACGCTTCCTGTGAGGACGTCAGTGATGCCCCTCAGGACGTGGGGATCGAAGGTTCAGCTGAGGACGGGCAGAGCAGAGAGGACCTGAGCCAAGTCGACGGGCAACTGAGCCGGCGTAGAGTCATCATCGAAAACATCAGGTCCACAGTCTCCCCTCGCATCACGTCTGGGCCTGCATTTATACGATAAAACTGTTCTGGCAGCTTCTTCGGTCTACTCACTTCCCTCGATGAAAATACATGCTATAAATATAAATAATGCTTTATTGTATGTAATGTTGTACATATGCAAATTTACATCCAGATTGATGGAGACGTAGAGTTGGGGTACCTTCTTGCATCCACATGAACAGGAAGCCTCGCAGTATTGCATGACAAGACCAGCATTACAGCATATAGTCTTTTTATTATTCACTGTGATTTACATTAAAGAATATATGTGAAATGAAGAATTTATACGGGGCCTGACACTTAATCTGCTTCATAAGCATTAAAAGAATATCTTCGCTACAAGAAAATCAAAGAATATTCCCCAGTATGCACTGAGCTAGTTATATTGTACAATATCTGGCAAAATACTTTATTCTGTTTAAGCTTCGCATAAGATAAGTGTGAACTGGTCTATTTCTTTATGCACTCACTTGTTCCATGTGGGTGTGGTTGCAGTTTTTGAGCAACATCCTGTATATTTATCTTGCACTCTAGAGTCCAGACTCCTTTAATTGATTTATATGGAGCAAGAGAACAAGATATGAAATGGTTGTTTTATTTCTTACTAAAAACTAACCATTTTTGAAATAGCATCTAATTAAATTCCTGTGATTCTCCTTTAAATTTTAATACTGTAAGACAAGCTGTAAAAAGCAAGATGCCAGTTGTTGACATTGATATTAACTGCCATTCACATCAAAGCAGCGTCTGATGACATTTTGCTAGAAGCCGGTTCATTGCGAATGGATTTTGTGTCTGTATTTTGTCTTGAATTTACTGGAAACCCTGTGTTCTCTGGGTTTTTAATGGAATGATAAAAAATTCATAGTCTTGCTAATGAGGAGGTTTTGATGGAGGTTTCTTGAAGTGCCACTGTAATAATGTTCTTTAGGAAAAATGGAACACTTCAAATAAGCAAAGTGATGAGAACTCTGAAATAGTTCATTTATAAAGAGCAGGTAGTACCTCAGATGTGACCATAGACTTGTCCCATTCTGACATATGTGTTAGTAGTTTCCCCAAAACTCCGCAGTTTTGGTTGCATTTGGTAATTGGTTCTTTGGTCATTTTTCTATATAGGAAGAACGAGTTTGGAATCGGTGTGGAGCTGAATGAGGAGGGTGAGCAGCTCATGAAGGTTCACCAGGAACGCCTGGGGAGGAGCCTGGACCGTCTGTCTGCTGAGCTCTACAGTAAAGACACCCACTTTGTCCTGGAGCTCATCCAGGTTCGTAGGGGTGTGTCGCACAATATGTGCATACATTATAAAAGTCTTTTATTTAATATATCCTTAGATATAGATCCTGGTGTAGAAGCAAAACTAGCTAAATTCTGTCATACAGGCTAATGTTGTCCATTTACTCTCCGCAGAATGCAGATGACAACAGCTACAGTTCGAATGTCCAGCCAGCCCTGGCCTTTGTGATTGAGAAAGATTGCATCGTCATTCTCAACAATGAGAACGGCTTTGAGGAACAAAACATCCGCGCTATCTGTGACGTGGGACGCAGCACCAAGGGGAAGCACAAGTATGGTTACATAGGTATGACCCTACTGGCAGAATTTGCCTTTGAACCTTAAATTGTGTCAAAACCCTGCTGAGAGAAGATCTTGCGTTAGACCTAGCCTAGTCCTGACTAGTCCTAGTACGACTTCACCAGATAAAAAAAAAAAAAACACAGACACAGTTACGAATAAGTGTAACATTTTGGTTTTGTTATTGCAGTATTAGTTATAGTCACTACCATGGCGTTTCGTTATGACGGATGTCCTCGTGCAATTGCATTCCTATGCAGGACAAAAAGGCATCGGTTTCAAATCGGTGTTCAAGGTGACAGATTGTCCTGAGATTCACTCCAATGACTTCCACCTCCGTTTTGAGAAGAACAGCGGCCCCATGGGCTACATCCTACCTCACTGGGTGGAGGAGGAGAAGGTCGTGGACACAAACATGAAGGAGTTAAAGAAGCAGAGGTGAGGAGCATGAAGCATGAAGTACTGCCTCAGCATACCACTCTTCTTAGAGTCATCCTGCTGCTTCTTCTTCCTGATTGTTCTGCAGTAATGCTTGTCTGTTCTCTTTCCCGCCCCTTTCACCAGCTGGAACACCAAGATCTTTCTCCCACTTCGGTCAAAGAGCTACCAGACCAGGAACCTCTTCCATGACGTCGACCCGTCGCTGCTGCTCTTTCTGCACCGGCTGCGCTCCATTACCATCATCAACCAGGTACCCAGCCAACGTCTCGTTCTGATACTTCTTCCCGTTGTGCGTATCTGATCTCTCGCTCACTGAATACCATCTCTACATTCTTCCCGTGCACCTCACACATCCCGTATTTGCATATTTATTCCGCCAGGGTGAGGGCCATGTGGTGTCAATGACTCGGAGAGACCTGAGCCACATGGTCTCAGAAGTGCAGCACAGTGATGGTGTCGAACGCTGGCTGGTAGTCAAGAGGATGCTCTTCCCCAACAAGGCAAGTGTCATCTCTGTGTCTAGCATCTGTAACAATGTTTCATTCGTTAGCAGGAATACCCATGGTACAATATGATGTTCTTGGAGTATAGAGTGTACCTCTTCTCAGTTTACTTATCAGAAACCAAGTGCATATTGATTACACAAATGCATTAAAGGAACCAAGACATCTATAAATGTGTTGATGTCCAGTTCAACTGTATTGATTCCCTTTAGCACACTGCTCAGTATCTTTATGGAAAAAATAATTCCACACTTCTAAACCACATCAGAGTATTGCAACAGTACATTTAAAATTCTTATATTCCATGGGACCTCCAGACTATCTGCATGGACATACATAGATCTAGTATCCATACTTCAACCAAAATTGCAGATGCAATTAAGTGAAATGAAGACCACTGTAGCTTCCCTTTTGACATTTTCATTATAGTAGAACTGTGATTTACATAGACAAGCTCTTCTTGATTTGCATTAGTTCTACCCTTTAATGTCTGTTGCCTGTATTTTGGTTGGCTGTGAAGCTCATCCTATAGTCTAAAAGAATACATGTAAGGTGAATAGGTGCCTTACATCATGCATCTCCACTGCAGACCTAATTTGTATAAACTGTCATTGAAAATAATGCAAAGGCTTTGAGTACGCTTTCCATATGTCACTGTGCAGTTTGCGTAGTTTGATAAGAAGCACTGCGTGGGTCTCATTGCACTGCAGGACAGAGACACGGGTGACCAGGTTCAGCCAAAACCAGGCTTTCTCGGGCTAAACCAAGATGCTACAAATGACGCTAATTGAGCAAATGAATACTTAAAAACCATATCGAGATCGAGTAGCCTTCCTCTGTGTTAGCATTCAGGTCACATTTTAGAGTCCTGACAAGTTAATTAGTTCAAACAGGGCCAGCTCAGGGCTGTGGATTGATCATCTTGCTAATTCTAGTGATTGACCAAACAGAGTGCTGTGGATCACTCGTAGTATGTGGTGTGTGCGTTTAATGACGCAGTTTGCTTTGCTCTACTGAAAGCTCTTTTTTTTTGTATGTTGCACTTAGAGTCAGTATCTTACTAGCTTCTTTTCTGGGTGATATTTGTGTAGTTGGCATTCCTGATGGTAGGCTTTAAGCAATGTCCATATAGCTGTTTTTCCCACAGGAAGCTTGCAGTTGGTTACCATCAGTCATTGGAAGTTTCGCTGGTACATTAGTCGCCTCTTCAACAGCTGTAGTCTCATTATGCATTATCTGCCTCACTTGTATGGTGCTCTGGACAAAAGCATCTGCCATTTAAATAAATATAAATGTAAACAGATATACAGTACGAGTTATAAACAAGTGCAGTTCAGAACATGAGGGTGACCAGATACCACCCTAATGGAAAAATGCCTGTGAAATTTTCCATGCACTGAACATTAGACTGACAAATTTCTGTTTTTAATTCGAAGGTTATCAAGATGATGCCACCATTTATCTGTTTATTTTTCATTGAGGTGTAAATTGCACATTTTTAAATGATTAATAAATACATTTCATTATTTTCCCTCAGTTTTAATGAAGCAGATTTACCACTATGTGAATAATAACACAATTTACAGGGTTACAGCAAAAGGGCCAGAAGCTGAAATGTTTGTTACTAATTTATCACAAGCATTCAATTAATAAAACACTTTTTTTTTTGTAATGTTAACCTGCATATTTTATAGCTTCCACTATATATCCACAATTATAAATAATCAAGGGATCATTCATTGTCCAGAATTAAAACTGTAAGTTTTTATTTCTGCCATTCAGATTGAAGAGCCGTCAGAGGACAAAGAATTCTAAAGCGATATTGCGAGGCTCTGCGACTCACTGTACAGTCAATTTGCCCCCCCCCCCCCCCCCCCCCCCCACGCACCTAAGACACTTCCTGTCTTCCAGACAGACATTCAGTCATGTTGAACATGCATATTTCATTCCAGACAGGTGGCTAAATGGTTTGTTTTTATTCGCTGTCTGGGTTATGTAAGGGTTTCATTGGTAGCATACATCAGGACGGAGGCACTTGCATCTCATTTAAGGTTCATGAAAATAGTCTTATCGATAAGGTGTAGTGAATTAATCTCCTCCTCTTAGGGCAAGTTCTGCCATCGTGTGGGATGGAACGGTGCTTCCAAAGCAGTAAAGCAGAGTTTAATTTACAGGGACCAACCGGTACTTTACTGCTCTGTTTTTCCTCTGTTACTTTCCTTTTTCAAGTCTTCAGAATCATTATCTTAAATATTTCATGGAAGACAGAAGAGCTGTTCAATTAAAGAGATTACAGACAAAGGACCAGGGATAATTTTGTGGAAACTTCAAGAAACTAGACTAATGTATAGCATCTGATTGGTACGACTTTTCAGTATTAGATTATAAACTTCAGACTTGGCGCTCAGGTAATTTTTGAACATGAGAGGTTTTATATTTATTTATCAGACAGTTTATTCTGTAGTAACATACAGTGGAGTCGGCCAGTTCCTGGAGTAATTGTTGTTAAGGGTCTTGCTGTAGAACTCAACAGTAAAATCATTGTGGAAACTCTGGGATTTGAACAGATGACCTTCTGATTACGGGCCCAGCATCCTAACCTGAAGAGCCACTCACCATCCTGACCGCACCCGTCTTGTGGTTGAGAACACCTAGTTTCTGAGAAATAGCTATTGGTTCCTCTGCAGATTAAGGAGGACGTCGAGTCCACCGAGCTGGCCTTGGCCTTCAGGCTGAATGAGGACTCCTCCCCCGACGGGAAGTTCCAGCCCGAGAAGCAGCCCGTCTTTGCCTTCTTACCTCTGCGGAGCTTCGGTTTCCGCTTCATCATCCAAGGTTTGGACGTGCCGCCTTCTTAAGCAGACATTCCACAGTGATTTATGTCTGATAGACAAAGTGTATGAAACAGACAGCAGGTAGTACAGGCAGGTGGCTACAGAGTGGGATGTCAGGTGATCATCAGCACAGGTACATGTGGAATTCTTATTATTTATTTGTTTATCACTCTTCTGTTGTGCTTCACCGACATAGATAACTTTGTAAATGCAGTAATAATGTTACGGTACGTGGTTCAGCAGGCTAAGCCTCTGTGCCTGTGATCGGAAGGTTGCCAGTACAAGCCTGGCTTCAGCAGAGTAGTCACATGTCCGTGGGCCCTTGAGCGAGGCCCCTTACCCCCAGCTCTACGGGCCCCATGGCAGGTGGCTGCCCTTTGCCACTGAATTTGCTGGGTGTCATGGAGAGCGTGATGGGGTGGGCGAAAGGAAAATTTCCCCACAGGGATCAAGTGTCATCAGAATAATTTCATTTTCATTTTTAATCTTGGTCGTAAGGGCCTCATGCATGATTGTGTTAGATGTAAAAATGGCATCTTTGCATTTCCATCCTTTCTCACAGGGGACTTTGACATCCCGTCATCCAGAGAGGACGTTGACCGGGACAGTGGCTGGAACCAGTGGCTTCGCTCACAAATCCCCCAGCTCTTCCTCCATGCTATGGATGTCTTTACCGTAAGAGAGTGCTGGCAAGCAGGCAGACACCCTGGTTACAGACACAGGAAAACATTTTCAGCACAACATGGATTTCAGATTCCTTTTGAACCTCTAGTATTGTGTATATAAACCACTTTTCACTAACTTTCACTAACTAAAGATATCTGGAGGCTGTAGAGGCCCTAGTTTTCCACTTATACCAAATGATGCAGAATATAAATGAAATATCAATTACGTTTAAGGATCATTTTCATTTTTACAAATGTTGTACTGTACTGACTCCAAGTTGGATCTTGGGATGTGTGCTGTTGTTATAGATGCACACTTATTTCATCAGACTTTTTTCTGAAATATTCCAGGAGCACCCTGAATTCAGTGGTTTGCAGGGGCTGTGCCGTTTCCTGCAGTTTGTTCCTCTTCCGGATGAGATCCTAGACTTTTTCAGTCCTGTGGCGAGTCAGATCATTCAGTTGCTGAAAGGCAAGGCCTGTTTGCCTACCACGGAACGCCAAAGTGAGCCTCTCGGAACCCATGATATGCTGCATTTACAGAACCTTTGACGACCGCATGAGATTTCAGCTTCGGCTCTCCACGGATGACGTGACCTTTGAGACGTGTCTTTTCACAGACGGAGAGGTGGAATTCAAATTGCCCTCACAAATTGCTGCCACTCAAGACCCACTCATTCAGGAGGCGATTGGAGAAGATATGCTCCAGAGACACCTCAACTTGTCCTACATGCACCCTACCCTCCAGTCTGTGCTGCCCCAGTCTTTAATATCTGCCTTGGGGGTGCATCGCCTGAGAGGGCAAGACGTTGCCACGGTGACCCGTGCCATGACTACAGAACTCTTCCGCAGCACAGGGACCTGGTCAGGTAGCAGTTCTGTTTATCTCTACATGAAAATGCTCTCCAGCTGACCAGCAATGTTTCGGTCCTCATCACTACAGCAAAATGTGATTTGAAATATGCTCTCTGTTCTGAATTATGATAACTCTGTTGCAGACGCCAATCTTAAGGAGGTGGCCAAGCTCTTGGTATGTAATTTCCGTGCCCTGGAGCAGGATTATGGTGAGGCCGGCACCATACTGGAGGTGCTCAGAGATATTCCCTTCATCCCTCTGGCTGATGGCCGTGTGGTGTCCTTGAGAGAGGAAGGTGTCTTCTTTCCTCTAATGGACCCAAAGAACACCGACATCGGTATTCTCGCTTTTTCTCCAAGGTTGATCATTACAATAAAATAAATCTGCGTGTAAAACTCAGTGATTTAAAACTGTCCTTGATTTTTTTCCTCCCTACAGCATTTCTTTGATTTGAATTGTTTTCCCTACAGCTTCATTTATAAATTAACTATGAATAACACTGCAGAACAAGCAAGAACAAGTCCCCCTCTCTGATGTTCATTGAAATGCAATGTCTTTATTTGAGTCAGTAATTCAGGCATAATGGTACATGCCTGTAGGTAAATATTAAATCATCCACATGCTACATGAGGCATGAAGGAAGTGCTGTGCTAACCAGGGTTTAGCCACCAGGGGTTTGGTTAGCAACCTGTAATAATCTATGATTTTTTTTTTTTAAGGGTTGGTCAGCAGACACGCTGAAATAGCAAGCCTTAAAATGAATGAAACGGTTAAACCCACCAAGCTGAAGAGCAGCATGGTGGATTTATTTTAGGAGGGAGTGACCTCACCTCACTTCATCCATCTGCCACTCAGGCTTAGAGGCGCTCTACAAGGACCTGAGCACCATATCCCCTCAGCTTCTGGACTGCCTGGATCCACTGGGGAACTCGCTCGTCGTCGAGCTGCTGAAGAGGCTGAACGTGCACCAGCTGGAGCCCCAGAAAGTCCTGCAGGAGCACATCTACCCTCTTCTGAAGAGCGGAGCCTGGAAGGTGAAGCTTTTTAGCAGTAGATGTAGACATGGATTGGGTAATATCTTCACAGTGTCCCCCTGGCCTAGGGGTAGCTCTCTAGAGTCGTGTTAAGGATGTTAGATGTGGGCCATTTAACTTGATGTACCTTAAGTATCCATGGCTGAGGTGTTTTTGAATGCTTAAAAGCCAAAGTAGTTTGGAAAGCATTCGTGGGTGGACTGCTCTGAGTATATTAAATATAGCATGGGCACGGTTGACCAGTGTTTTGGTGTCTTTAGCATAACATTCCAATTTTAGAACAAAGCCACACATAGGTCTGAAGAGCAGATGCATAAATGATGCAGGAACCTGAACAGCCAATTTCATTCTGCCTTCAGATGAAACAGGAGGACATTATTATCAGCTACGTCGTGTTTATCAAGCAGCACTCTCAAAACCAGGACTACAGGACACTGGATGAATTCATACCTGTGCTGACCAATAAGGGCTTTCTCTGTGCCAGAAAGGCAAAGGTGCAGTTCTCAAAGGAATACGGTAACATCGATCTCCCCACTAAACTCCCAGGTAAACAAGGGCCATGTTCTTTCCCATTTTCCAGCTTGCATATTCCCACTACATTGGCAGATTTATGCTGTCTGTTCTATTGTCTCACTGCTTTTTCTGATATGGTAGCTGATGTTGTGGCTGCACTGAAGTTGCTTTTAAACCAGACAAAGCATTAAAGGAAGTATCTGATGTCTCTAACATGCAGTGGAGACTTTTTGTCATCTAAGCAGTGGAAGGAAAAGATGTGATTCTGCAGCACAGTCAGCCTTATCTCATGTTGCCCCTTCTACTTCCTGCTCACAGGTGTGGATTGGATCTTGCTGGATACCTGCTACCTGCAAGCTGACAAAGATCCTGGAGGTTGGAAGGAATTTTTCAGTAGTTTGGGGGTGCGGGATTTGCTCATCTTCAACAAGGAGCAGCTCTCGATGTCATCACAAGACCTGGTAGGTGAATCCCACACCCACTTCCCAAGAGTGAATCAGTCAGTGAACCGGTGTAACAGAACCTGGGCATTTCATGGGTCACACCGTGCTGGACCATGTCCCGCGGCCTTCATGCGAGAGGTGACTCAGCCCTAGGGGCGTCGTTAGGCCTGATCTCTCGGGGCTATAGCCCCAAGTATTTTAACCCCGATGCCAATCTTCCTTCAAAAACAAAGCAAGTCAAAAGTCAAGCCCCAGGTAAACCTGACTTAGCCCCTGATCTTTTCATTAGCTAGAAAGTGCCCTGGCCCAGACTGTCCAGATCGAAAGGATGACAAGCGCTGGGCGACCGGCTGGTGTGAGGCGCCTTCCTCCTCCCCCCTTCTGCAGTGGACTCGCATTCCTAATTAAGCATGCGCCTAATTAGGCATTCAGACACACTCCATAGTTCTTTGCAGAAGCTAAAAGCTTTGTCTTGAATAGCAGTAGCAAGTGTGACATGCAGGATTACCTTTTTATTTTTTTTGTACATCTAGAGTGCGACCACTTGGCCTGCTCTTGTCACCATAGGCCACCCAGACAGACATAACCTTCAGCCTTTAGCTACACTTTAAGCTGCGGGGTGCTGTGTGGACTGTAGTCAGGCTTGGACTGTATGAGAATCTCTGCCTTGATATTCTTGCATCTTACTGGATGGCTCTGGTGATTTCAGACCAGGTGACTGACGGAAAAGTGCCACCTTAGTGCAATCATGAGCAGAAGGGCAGCCATTCAATAAGCTGTATGATTCCATTTCTGTGGCTCTAACCTATTTATCTAAATAAATTGTGTGAGTCGGCCTTTTCTTTTGATGCTTCACCATTGATTTTACTCTGATCACACAGACTTATAAAACTGTTGCCACATTAAGTCTTTCTTTGCCATTCGGCTGATGCAAAGATGAAAGCAGACTTTTTATAATGTAAAGCAGTGTCAGTCACATGTGTGTGTGCTATTATATTTTTAAATCTGCTAGACGCTGCAAGAATACATAAAATTGCTTGAGTGATTCATATCTGGTCGCATATTTCCCCCTTTTGCTTTCAGTATAGCATTGCACATCTACAAAACGAAGACTGAAAAGTTATCGTTAAAATGTATTCATATTTGTTTTTAAAAATCAGTATACCAGCATAAAAAGAAGGGTTACAAACTCACAGTGAACTTAAACATATATGTTGTTTTGCGCCCTTGTCTAAATTTCAGTCCGCGACCCCATGGGCCAAGGAGGCTGACCTCTGCCACCTTTCGGGTGGCATGTTCATCATAGAGGATTACCAGTGTGCGGAATTCCACTCCCTGGTCACTGCTGACCACCTCCCAGACCAGGTGAAGCTGCAGCAGCGACACGAGCTGCTGAACCTGCTGGAGAAAAACTGGGACACCGGGTATGACTCTCTCTCAGTGCTCGAGTCGCCGGCTGCGTTCTTCCTATAGCGTGCTCTCCTCAGACCCTGCCGCGTCGACGCCAGCAAAGCCTGGCACGTTCGGGAGATTTCTCAGTCGTTTTAGACATCATTCCGGATGCAGGGATGTGGCTGAGCTGAAGCAGATGAGCGACCGCACCTTCTGGCTGAGTCTGGAGAGCGAATGTCACGGCCTTTTGTTCAAATGGATGAGCTCATGCATAATGCAGAAGCCGCAAGGCCTCTGACGTCCAGGCTCCCTCGGCGTTTAATCCGCCATGTGTGAGAATAGAGCTTTATTTATGCTTCTTATCCACATCACTTACTTGCTCATATGCTTGCTGTCCACTGAGTTCAGAAATAATTCCCACCTATAATTATGCCAGATTTATAGTTGCTGTTCTTAAAAGTACAGTTTTTCACTCTTCTTGAGTTCTAGAGTTCAAGTTGTGACTTGAGTCCCAGAAGTGGGACATGCATTGGTTTGGATGTCTGATCTTCGTAGTGACTTTCTGTGCTCCTGTAGTCGTCATGACATACAGTCCTTCCATAGGCAACTCATAGCATGCAGTGAAATAGGTGGAAATTGTACAGGCGACGTCTTTGTAAATCTTTATTTTTGCCAGTAGCATTTCAATCATTGCTTCTGTGTTATGATGCTTTTGCTTGTATATTTCTCACGGCGAATTGGTGAATCTTGATACTTTCAGACATCCAGTTTGCATACGGATGTGTTCCATCAGTTTAACACCCGCGATATGACTACTTAAATTTTCATCATTTTAGTGTTAGAAACATATGTATATAAAGGTCTTAATATCAGCTAAATTTTGGATATGGCTCTGAGCTTCCAAGTTGTATTTTTCTTGATGGCTATGAGATTATCTGACCTGAATCTTGAATGTCTCATATTAGTCATTCCCATGTATCATCCTGCCCCCTCCTTAATTTACACCACCATTAAAAAGGGATGTTTGTCATGTGTCACATTCAGATAAATTTCTAAAACTGATTTAAACAGTTTCGCCTCGCATACACCTGGGATCAAACTATAGACCTGGGGACAAATTATTGACTTTATCTTCTATATTTATGTGTGGCTCGGTGGGCTAAGCCTCTCTGCCTAGATTCAGAAGGTTGTTGGTTTGAGCCTGGCTTTGGCAAAGTAGCCACACGTGCATGGGGCTCTTGAGCAAGGCCCTTAACCAAGGACATAGGTTTGGTGTTGATATTGGGAGGGACCAAATCTGCCCTGAACACCCCGCCCTCCTAAACACACCCTTTTCTCCTGCAGTATTGGTAGGGACATGTCCCTGTCATCAGATCTACAGCCATGTCACTAACCCCCAGGTCCCTGGGTACCACAAGGTGGCTGCCCCTTTGCTGTGACCCCCAAGGTTGTTCTCACCTGTCTGGAGAGTAGTTGGGGCAAAAGTGAAAATAGAGAATTTCCCCCCCCCCCCCCGAGGATTAATAAAGTAACAAAAAAAACAGTGTCAGTGATAAGAGCCAGGTCGCCTTTCCACTTCATCCAGTTCTGCCCAGTTCGCCTTTCCACTTCATCCAGTTCTGCCCAGGTCGCCTTTCCACTTCATCCAGTTCTGCCCAGTTCGTCTTTCCACTTCCTCCGGTTCTGCCCAGTTCGTCTTTCCACTTCATCCGGTTCTGCCCAGGTCGCCTTTCCACTTCATCCAGTTCTGCCCAGGTCGCCTTTCCACTTCCTCCGGTTCTGCCCAGTTCGTCTTTCCACTTCCTCCGGTTCTGCCCAGTTCGTCTTTCCACTTCCTCCGGTTCTGCCCAGTTCGTCTTTCCACTTCATCCAGTTCTGCCCAGGTCGCTTTTCTACTTCCTCCGGTTCTGCCCAGGTCGCCTTTCCACTTCCTCCGGTTCTGCCCAGTTCGTCTTTCCACTTCCTCCGGTTCTGCCCAGTTCGTCTTTCCACTTCATCCAGTTCTGCCCAGGTCGCTTTTCTACTTCCTCCGGTTCTGCCCAGGTCGCCTTTCCACTTCCTCCGGTTCTGCCCAGTTCGTCTTTCCACTTCCTCCGGTTCTGCCCAGGTCGCTTTTCTACTTCCTCCGGTTCTGCCCAGGTCGCCTTTCCACTTCCTCCGGTTCTGCCCAGTTCGTCTTTC